GACCCACAGCAGGCATCTCTCCTGGTTGAATCCTCTATCGTCATCCAGAACGCCACTCTTGCCAACAATGAGAACCGAAGTCCACTTCAGAGCATCATGGAGAACAGGACCAAATACGCTTTGCACCACACCCGGCGGTTYCTTCTCGATGAGRTCATATATCGCGGCAATGAGTGCCTCGATCTGGCTATAAAGCGAAGCTGGCCAGACTTCTCTCGTAACGCAGAATGGTCGACAGCCTCTTCTACATGTTATTGGCTTGAAACAAATTCAGGACGTCGACAAGTTCACTTTAATCTTCTGACGGGCGAACTACTAGTCAACGGCGCCCCACTGGCTCGTCTACCGCGTGAATATAATATACACGAAGATTATGGGAGGCTTTTTGGATCCATGATCTTGGATGTCATGCCGAGTAATTTACCAGGCATGCGGTTCAGTGCAACCAGAGATTTGCAAGGCCATACAGTTCACTTCGGCATACAAGAACAAGACCTTCTAGTGCAACTACACAAGCCTGGATCAACGTTGGATCTGATTCCGTCCAGATTGCTGAAAGGAATAGTCCCTTATCAGTTCTCTGATGGCTTTTCTCATTGGTACCATCACGAAACAAAAAGCATAGAATTCTGCAAAATTCACAGGTCTTGGGCTTTGAACGATCAGAGAAACTGGCGTTTTATACAGGATGAGGGCCATTGGAAACTCGGCCGTCATGGTGATACATTTCTTGTTGCCCCCTCAAGCAAGTTGGCAAAGCGAATCGCAGAGATCTTCAACCCTCTTGAAGCACCACTGGGACTTCACTTGCTTTACAGCACTGCCAAGTCAGCTACCGAGATTCAAATTCCAAATCTGAGACTAGAATTTCTTCTCAGGTCGGGGGAGTCATTCATCAAGTCCCGTCAGTTCCGTGGCATGCACGTTGATTCGAATCAATTTACAGGAACGCTCATGGGATTGAAAAGCAAACTCGTGTTATCCAGCAGCAGTGAGCCATCTAGCAGAACGATCCTCATTCCTGATGGGGATGTTCAACACGAGATGCGTGCGTTCAACCATCTTGATAAACACACGATGGTATGGGTGGTTCATGGTAGCGCGCGTCGTGTACAGGCTTACAAGCTTGACGGCCTGCTTCGTCGACTTGTAGGCAGCACCAAAACTGAGAGCAAGCTTTACCTGGCATACCTCCACGGCCTCACCTCGTTCTGTCTCCCGGACCCCTTCATCAGACGAACAGGAACTGAAGAAGCTTTGGATATATTGGGATCTGCGATAGTCCGCGCGACCAGCGTCTTGAGTGAGACTTCGTATGATATTTTGAACCTAATCTCCTATTTATCACCAAAGCGTTCATTCTATCCAAGGAATGAAAAAGTTATGCAAGTCGTCGGGTGGTCTTCCGGGTTGAGTTACGTATCCCAGGACGATCGCTTCTACAGAGCCGTATGCAATCTACTTGCCGGATCTCGTGAGATTAATTTTCTGTATCCCAAACTTGAAGTACCGGACTCTCCAGACTTCTCCTCAGTCCATTTGGTTGAAAGGGCAATCAACAGGGCTTCCCGTGGACACGTTGCTGGCTTTGGTGCTGAAGAGTTTACGACTCAGCATGATGTCAGTTATACCGCGAGGACTCAGCGAATACCGTCAGATCGAGGCATACGCGCTCAAGAGATCGCTTGCCGTATCTACCACTCTCAGTGTTACATTATCGAGAGAGTCGATCCTTGTTTTGCCCAGGTCTTCTATCAACTTCTCACTGCGAGCAATATTCTCAGACCAAGTGAAATGCCACCCAAGAGCATGATGCAGTATGATTCGAAATGGTTCCAAGAGCCAGAGACATATTTGGCGTTAGATTGGTGTAGGATACACTACGCCTTTCACAAGAGGCAAGACTGGTTAAACAAATTTGAACTGATGGCCTGGATAGCCACAGTGTCATATTCAAGTCACCACAACCCCCAAATAACTCAGGCATTATTGATGATAGCCCAGTGCTCTCCAGTCGGCGAGATACCTTTGCCGGAAGAACCTTTGTATATTCTCTCAGAAGGATGTACTCCTATTGCCGAAGAGATAAGCAGGCTAGCAGAAAATGAAGCCTATCCTATTACCTCATGTCCAGAAGCTTCACTCCCCTATTCGCGACGTGAATCTCCCGAGCAGCTGGTAAGAAGACGCGAGAGGCGCTACAAAGAAAACAAAAGACTTGCAATTCATACTTTTGTTGACTGTATCATCTCTCAGTGGCCTTGCCCGGCCCTACGTACCCCGTCGGAGGGTACGGTTGATACTTACCTGAGATGTAAGAATGTGATGGCAAGCTTGTGTCCCAAATGGGATTCGTGGTATGTGAATTGGAAGTTCAAGGAGTATCTTCAGGGGATCTCTCATCGTCTAAGAGAGGTGCCAGTAAGAGGTCTAAAACTTGAGCCCCAACCCGAGAGAGTTACGATTTCCCCACCGAGTCGGCTTACTGGATTTATATCCATTGAGGAGTTGTTTGACAGTGCAATTCAACAATCAATCTTCAGCCAGATACCAAAGCCAGATGTTTCCCTCCGAATGACAAAGAGCGACTCGAGGACTGTAGAAAGTTTGACCGAGGTCATTGGTAATCTCGAGATTCAGGCAAAGTTGCCGTACGAGCATCGCTATCTGAACCATCTGCGGCAAAGTCTTTCAAACCTGAGCAAGCGGCACGACCAAGAACTAGATTTCGACCAACGTGCCGTTCTTCAACCTTTATTCAAACAAAACATGGAGGATTGCACGAAACACGCAGAAACGGCTTATCAGTATCTATCATGGGCAATCATTGACAGCCTGACGCGAAAGCCTGGTGTCCAAGTGCTGGAATCCGTGAAGTTTATTCTCGAATATTCGAACTACCTTCCTAGAGTTACACCGCTTCTGTTACTACAACAACTTCGACCATCGCGTTTCTCTTGCCTGCCCGAAAGATGGAAAGTGGCTATTATAGAGTACGCGATTGCCATCACCGCTGCTCAGCGGGCTAAACGACTGGTACGGTTTGAATCTAGCCCTGCGGATCTTCTCCGCGAGGTCCAGAACCCTGGGCATGAGACGTGGGAAGCCTGGGATCACCCTGAGTGGTTGCTACTGGAATGCGAAAGCGAGATCATGATACGAAACGTGCAACAGCAAATCGCGCAGAAGATGATCAGCCCCCCAGAGAGCGAGAATGCAGTTATGCAGCTGAACATGGGCGAGGGAAAATCTACTGTTATCGTCCCAATGGTCGCTACAGCTCTCGCGGATGGTACAAAGATAATTCGTGTCATCGTTGCCAAGCCTCAAGCAAAGCAGATGCATCGGATGATTGTTTCAAAACTGTCTGGTCTACTTGATCGCCCAGTTTACCTCCTTCCATTCTCAAGAGACATTCGTATGAATCTGCAACGCGCAGAGGCGATTCATCAATTAGTCTCGAGATGCAGGAAAGAAGGTGGCGTCCTGATGGTTCAGCCGGAACATTTGCTGTCGTTGCAGTTGATGGAGCTAGAATGCCAACTCAGCAGTAACAAGGAAGCTGCAGAGCGATTGAGTTCAATCCGTGAACTATTCAACCATGCGTCTCGAGACATCGTCGATGAAAGCGACGAGAACTTTAGTGTGAAGTTTGAGCTTATATACACCCTGGGGCAACAGTGTTCAATCGAAGATAGCCCCAGCAGATGGGTAGTCATTCAAGAAGTGCTGGGGCTGGTCGCCCAAGTCGCTGGAGAAGCCAAATATGAGTTTTCGAAATCACTTGAGTTCGATGATCGCAACGATGGGCAATATCCCATAGTGCGCTTTCTCCAAGCTGATGCTGGCGAGGTAGTTCTCGATGGTGTTATCAAGAGAATTTGCAAGACTGGTATGCGGGGACTCCCGATCTCAAACCAGCCTGAGAAAATTCGGACTGCTGTGTACCACTACATCACTCTATGGAAGCTCAAGAAGGCAGATACTAAGCTGGTCGAGACCAGCATGTTCTTTGATGGAGCAGCGATCGGCCGCATTCTACTTTTGCGAGGTCTATTCGCCGGCGGTATCCTTGCTTTTGCGCTGGGTCAGAAGAGATGGAGGGTAAACTATGGAGTCGATCCGCGCCGTGAGACTGGGACCAAGTTGGCTGTTCCTTTCCGCGCCAAGGATAGCCCAACGCCGCGATCAGAATTCAGCCATCCTGATGTCGTGATTACCCTTACTTGCCTGAGTTATTACTACGGTGGCTTGGACGAAGAAGCTCTATTCTCTGCCTTTTCAATCCTTACCAAATCTGATAATGCCAGCGTGGAATATCATGAGTGGACCAGGACCGCTCCAAACCTACCATCATCGTTCAGAACCCTAGAAGGGGTCAATTTGCGAGATCGGGTCCAGTTCAAAGAAGAGATATATCCCCACCTCCACTTCTCTAAGTCGGCGATAGATTACTACCTGAGCCACCTGGTTTTCAGCAAGGAGGCGAAGGAGTTTCCGCATAAATTGTCGGCATCAGGCTGGGATCTAGCCAAGGTTAAAGAGAATCCTACCACTGGGTTCAGCGGCACCAATGATTCAAGATACGTTCTCCCTACGGATATCAAGCAACTAGACCTTCCAGAGCAGACACACACCAATGCGCTCGTCCTCAGCTATTTGTTGCAATCACAAAATGGGGTCACTTTGGTGCCACAGGAAGCCAGAGGTACCCCATTCAACAGCCGGATGCTTCTAGATATGATATCGCGAATGAACACGCAGACACGTGTGATCTTGGATGTTGGTGCTCAAGTAATTGATCTCACTAACGTAGAGTTTGCAAAGCAGTGGCTCTCTCGTTATCAGGATGATGACAACACCCAAGCAGTCGTCTGTTTCAATGAAGATGACGAGATTGTTGTACTCGATCGTTCAGGCAAAGTTGAAGAGCTTGAAACGTCACCATTCGCTGAACATATGGATCAATGCCTTGTCTTTCTAGATGAGTCACATACAAGGGGGACAGATCTCAAGCTCCCCCCAAACTACCGCGCAGCGGTCACACTGGGTGCCGGCTTAACAAAGGATCGACTAGTTCAGGGTATGTGGAAACAGGATCCTGCTAGAACTTTGCTAATACTGTTGCAGCTTGTATGCGAATGCGGAAACTCGGGAAGGGACAAAGCGTAGAGTTTTGCGTGCCGTGGGAGATTGAGCAGAAGATTATCCGCTTAAAACCTCAAGAAAAAGCTGCCAGACGTGAGATCGTCATATCTGACGTTCTCAGTTGGGTCATTACCGAAACTTGTCTCGATCTGCGTAAAGCGATTCCCCTATGGCTCAGTCAGGGTGCTCGATTCAGTAGACACCAAGAGTTCTGGTCAAAAAAGGAAGGCGTTGCTGTTTCCGGATGGGCTGAGCAGTTTCTCGAAGACGAAGCTCAGACCCTGGACCAACGCTATCGTCCGAGAACCGACCGCATTACTTTGGATTCACTTTTGGACAAAGCTGGTTTAGTCATGGCTAACGAGCTCCGAGCCCGCTGCGATGAGTTTGGATTGACCGAACTTCATACAGCATCATTACAAGAAGAGCAAGAGCGAGAGCTTTCCCCCGAAACAGAGCAAGAACGACAAGTTGAGAAACCACCTGCGGCAGAGCCAGAAACCCATTTTGTTAGTCAATCTCTCAGAGATTGGATCCTGAAGGGTTCTTCCTCAATCGATATCGCTTTGTTCCAGGCTGAGCATAAGCCAGCCTTCCAGACGCTGAAAAACACATCGGCAGCTCAATATTTCAACGTTCAAGTTTTTCCGAGTATTCTGCGTGCCACATTGGATTTCGCCAAGACAGTCAAAGGGACCTTTGGAGCCAGGAACTACTCAGACTGCTTTCAACGCCCTGTGCAATGGATCTTGACCAATAAGCGTCAGGCCGAATCAGTTTGCCTTGTGATTATAAGCCCATTTGAGGCTCAAGAGCTACTACCACTGATCGAAAAGTCTCAGCATGTGACTCTACACCTCTATGCTCCCAGGGTAAACCTTGCCTTCCAATCGCTTGATCATTTGCGCCTCTACCGGCTGTCGGGAAAATTCACTACGGATGCTATCCCAAGGAGTGCTATCACGTTTCTGAACCTTTTTTCAGGACAACTCTATCTGTCGTCTTTCCAAGACTATACCTATGTTTGCGATCTGCTTGGACTGGCTTGGGATGCCGTGGATAAGTCGGTGACCCTTGGTCCGGATGGTTTTATTCCGCCAGGCATCAGAGGAAGTGTCATCAATAAGTCAGAATTTTCGCAGAGCCCGGTTCAATTCTTGCGACTATTTATGGAAAATATCCGGCAAGATTGCGGATCAATTGAGAAGACAGATATTGGTAGAATCTTTGACGGCATGCGTCTGCTGGAGGATGACTTTCGCGGAAGGAGTTAGAAACCAGGGCAGTATCTTAGCCTGTATCCACAATGTTGACGGGATCTACCTTGAGCCATCGTCAATCCAGACGTTTCCATGAATGACTAAGCCTCGTAACGATTGACCTTGAGCCGACCTAGAGGATGGAAGTAGAACTTTTCCATTCTGACAGTACGAAAGCAACAATTGACTCTTCGCACTTTGATGCTACGCTCAGGGCATGACTTGTTACTACTCGTGATTCATCCTCGGGTCTGTTGAAACAGGGTCTGTTTATCGAAACATCCGTTCATCTTGCTCCCCTACACAGTTCATCTTGGTGGCGATCCATGTCCAAGCTTGAGCGATGATCGCCCACATGCTCCAGGCTGTATCTTTGAATTGAACGTAACTAGCTGATAGAGATGATTTAAGCTTAGGTAGAACGAATGGAAGACTGGCCTTTTCAACACTAGAGGTCTATTACCAAGTCAAGTACTCTCATGATATATGGGATCTTCTGTTTTTTTTTTTCCGTGAGCTATATAATAAATCATTATGCTGATTTGTCGTAGACCTGAGTCTTTCATAACTACTGTAGGGAATTGCAAACTTAGTAGTAATTGTGCCACAGATTCATCCCGAATTTATTCTTCAAAAAGTCCTGCACAGACCTGTCACCTTCAAACGATGCCGTAAGTGCTTCTCTATCGCCGTCAATCCTGAGACCTTTAAGGCCTGTTGCTCTTGATAAAGCGACATAAACTTGGCCTGCCACAAAAGCTTTGGACAGATCTACGATCACACGGTCTAGGGTCATACCCTGGCTTTTGTGGACGCTCATTGCCCAACCAGGTATCAGAGGAATTTGGGTTCTGTGCAAGAAGGAATATGGTTCTGTGTCACCGATTGCATTGACAAGACATGCAGCATATATAGTGCACTTCATTCCATTGTGGAACAGCACTCGTGGCCAGAACGTCTTTGCAATCGGTCCCATACGTCCTCGTGTTGCCTTCTGCTGAACTTTCATGAATTCCGTCACTTGTCTTCGCTTGAATGCTACATGTCCCCCACTGAACAGTTTGAACGAAGGCGTCGCGTCTCTGTCATACTTGCCACCTAAAAACTTCGTAAGGTCGAATTCTTCAAATCCATAAATAACACCTTGGCTTCCATTGACGAGACCGCCTTCAATGTCAAGGTTCACCTGCAATATAACAAGCATACCTACCCTCAATGAAACGCTCTGTTCTAGCCTGTGGTCCTTGCATGCTAATAAGTGTCCATCCGCATCTTGAGTGGTATAGCGGTCGAACTTCAAGTGCTGTTTTTGCCCGCATTCGAAACCATCCAAAGCTTTGTACATGTAGACGGGGGTCTTGAGCTTTCGAAAACTATTCGAATTGATCTCGGCAACCTCGCGCCTTGTGCAGAGGAGTTTTGTTGCTTTATCAACATTATGGGGATGATTAATCAGCGTTGTGATCTCGTCTGTTGTGAATGGGATCCCAAATCGACACTTCTGAAGCATTTGGATGAAATAAGCATCATGTTGACGATGAACTTTTTGAAGGTTGACGTAAGTAAACCCTGCTTCTTCCCAAGCAGCACTCCGAAAGGCCCATTTGTCTTCGTCCCTGAACGGCCCGTGGTTTTCAGGGCAGCTATACTTAAGTCCATCACTATCGAGATTTGTCTCCAGTCCGCAGTTCAAACAGAACTGGAATGGTCTCACAGGAGGTAGTTGGCAGAAGTCTCCTGTCACAACCACTTGAACTCCTCCAAAGGCAGGGGCATCGCTAGAAGGACCTTTGAGATTTGAATCCCAGCATCGAACTTCCTTCATACAGATATTTATGCGCTCCAAATGATGATTCTCAACCATGCTGATCTCATCAATGATTAGGACTTCAGTACGTCTCAGACGAGCCGCGACGTAGGTGCGAAATCCCTCGCTTTTCAATCTTTCCAGAGAATACTTATGAAAGTCGGGTGTCCAGCCCATGTAAGACCAAGTCGACATGCCTTGTACTAGAAGTGCAGACCGACCAGTGGGAGCAATGATGTCAACTCGTTTGTGCTTTGCTTTTAGCTCTTTGACAACAGCTTCTAAAACAGTAGACTTTCCGCAGCCCGCTGAGCCGGTGAAAAAAACATTGCGTCCACATAGAATCAAGTCCACCAGATTTTGCTGTTCGTCGCATAGCTTTGGTAAGATGTTGGAATTGGGTACCACTACGCCATTCCCTGTATTGTGAACTTCCTGCGTGAAAAGTGTCATTGAAAACACCGTCTTCTCAGAGAGATGTTATCGTTTTGTTTTATTCTTGGAAAAGACAACAGATCGATGGCCACGGCAGGTGTTCGGCTGTATGAGGAAAAAGGCCGTCATGAACCCTTTGCGGCGGAGTCGTGACCCAGACCTGGCCCTCGGACGAAGATTCTCGCAGGGTGACGAGGCTAAGTTGGAAGTGAAAAGCTTGAGCGAGGTTACTTTACCGCACATCACGCCACTGATTATATTAATTGCAGAAATTCCTCCTCGTAAGGCTCAGGTTTATTGATGTTCAAAAGATGCAGGAAGAAGGCGTGTTGGCAAAGGTGAGCAGCGGCTGAAAATCTGTGGCAGATGCAACCCGGTTAGCCTGGATGCCTGGCATCTTAGGCAGCAAAGCTACACCTAAGCCTTTAGACAACCTGTTGGCTGGAACTCAGAAATCTCTCCATTGTACATCAGTTTCACATAAATTTCAGACACTGGAGGATACGACTGCGCCTTTTGACGGTTGTCCAATAGGTCATGATTGCGTGGCACATATGCATAATAATAAGAGTGATATCGTAGCATGAAGCGAAACTAACACCAGCCGGTAAGGCCCACCGTGAGACTTTTCGTGCGGGGGCATTCTCGAGTTGGTGTCGCACTCATTTTTCGTCGAAATGAATTTTATTCTTCTCCATCTGTTCCTGCTTAAGTATACTACCCCGTATCCTTGTTTCATTTGAGATATCAAGATCGTGGCTCTTTTGAACCTGACAGTGGATTATAGTAGAAATTCAACAATTATCCTCCACAATGCCTGAATCTGCCTGCCTGCACCTTTTTCGAAAGATCTTTGAGAAGAACCTAGGCCCTCTTGCAGCTGGAATCATGAGTCTTGTCATCATGTCCTTCAAGATAAATTCCGCTTTGATTGTATCCGTAACCTTTGTTTCTTGCCAGCCGCTGACCGCAAGAGTGACAGAAGCTTGATGTAAACCCAAGCACTTAACCACGCCACTGGCGATGGATTGGCAGTATTTCTTACGTCGCTCGGGATGCTCCAGCACGTGCAGAGGTTATCACACCTACTCACATGTGAAGGGAACGATGATGCGACCATCTCTCGGGCTTATTACGATGCCTTTCATATCGCCATAACATACGAGATCAGGTAAGAACTAAGATATTCGCTGAGTGAGCATTATCACCGTGAGTGACCATCAAAGAATATGACAGCCCAGAAGTGAGGAAGGTACAAAAGCTCTCCAAGGACCCATCTCAGCATGCAGACTCGACACACTTGATGAGGCCTTCTGGCTTAGTTTTTCGCGCCATTGCACCAATCCACTAAAGGTCTATCACACTTCTTCCCCTCGTATGGCGCATACTTCGCCCAGCATGAATGGCCAGGTAGCATTCTTGGATGCTACAGCTTGTATGACAGTCTCATCGCCCTTTAGGCCCGCGTCGTAAATCTCGATGGCGAAGCGGCTTCGTCCCTTGTTCGACCTGGAAGGAGCAGGCAAAGGCATAGGTTCGCTAGCGTCGGCCATTCCCAATAACAGCTTGTCAAATTGCCTGTATGTCAATATCATGGTAAATTAGGCTTCATGTTTCTGCCCCATAATGGTTGAGTTCACCAGCCAGACTTGCAGTCTTCAATCAGCCTATTGTTCACGTTGCTGTGACAAAAAGGAAGCATGGGGTTGCTTGGCGGATAGTTCCAACTTAACCGCTACTAAATGGTTCTTCACTCTGCTCCCAGGCATCTGGAATGGCATCGAAACGCGGCAATCATCGGAGACGCTCTGCCGTGTCACCGCCGCCACGTGCTCCTTGGTTGAGGTGGATACGAAGCTGATGTGCCATGAAAGCTACCATCTGCGACACCCAACACCCACGGAGTATCATACTCAGGAACATGTTGGCACTTCCAACGGGTCCAATATCCCCTACTCCGAGCTGGCCGAACCGCACCCGGCTATGGCAGTTGGCTGTAACGACCCGGCCGTGGGGATACTCCAGTGATGCGATTTGTAGCGATATTGGCTTGCGTTCTTCGTCTTTTGTCCGAGGCCACGGAGCGAATTGCGGCTTTCCGCTTGAGTCTCGAAAGTCGAGCATACGATTGAATCAGACTTGATTGTGTTGATAAACCTCCATCTGTTAGCCATTGACACTGCTGCAGGTTGCATCGAGTCCCAGCTCCTTACATTCCTCCTTTGTCCCACAGCATCCGACTCATCACGCTTCCGCTTCTCTCCTCGTTGCACTACCTCAGCTTGAGGTTCGACAGCAGGACTGTACTCATAGCCCACCAACTGCAAAATAATCCGTTTGGCAAAGCTCGCATACGGTTTAAATGGGATCCGAAGATGCTCGATCATTGGCCACATAAAGCTCTCCATGTCAAGTATCGGATCGTTGAGGGCATCGAGGAGTTCGTGGGGTATATCAGCTTGAAAGATGTGCGCAAATGTGGTGTCGGATTTATTGGTTACAAGCAACCGCGCCTCAGAATTGTCAGTGGAATGAGTAAAACCGGAGAAGGGGGTAGACTCACCCTGAAGGTCTTCGGTCGTGGCGTTCGACGCTTCCGCCATTGCAATTGAGCCAAGGACAACAAAACACAGACCAAATACAAATCCTCAAACCAGAGCCGGGGGGTAACAGTCCGCAATTTGCGCTGATACATTTTCGATACGGGATAATTGCAGCCATCGCCAGGATGTGATTTTGGCCTCAGCACTCGTTGACGTTCTCGAGTGACTTTGTCATAGTGATAATAACCAATGATCGGCCGCTGTTGGGTACTCGTTGTGCTCACCTGGAAGATATCGCAGTCTGGTGAATGCACGTCGCGCCCGGCGAAGGTGAAAGGAGGCGAGCCATTTACTTTCTCTAAGGGACTATCTTTGCAGCGCAGTAAGTGACCAACGGATATTGACTTGACAACCGGTGAGTCTATATTTGCTAGGTTGCGGGAATGCATTGTGAGGTTCTTGTCGGCAGCCATTAAGGATGAGGTAGAGGGAGGCAGAGCAGAGTCAAGGTGCTGGAATTGAAAGCCCAGGAGACGCAGATGCTGCGATGTCCAGAGCAGAGGATGCACGGCGAACCATGGATGTTCGATGCTTAGTCTGTGTAGGGACTTTGTCGTTGGCAGTTGCATTGTGGTTGGGCGGATGAATTTGCACGTCATGACGTGACGCGTTACAACGACATGCAAAGGGCGGAGACGGACTCACCTATTTCCGACTGGTTGAGTGGGCCAATGGTGCCAGTTCTGATTTTAGCCACGAAGCGACTAAAGAGCTATACCAATTTCGGTCCTGGCGGGTAAGTACTTCAGACTTATCAATATCAGTCAGAAGGCCGGGCCCTCAATAATGCTAAGAGGTTAGTGCAAATATACCGCACATCGAGTGCACCACATTTAGGCCTGAGGGGAAATACAGACCTCCCAAGGTTTTCAACCCCCGCTCAAGATGTCAAAGCCGTATTTCGATGCCATAAGATCAGAACGTGCATATCGCTCGTCCTTCCAATCTGAGCCAGCAAATGATCTCACTTTCTCTCTGTCCAACCTGCAAACTCCCGCCAGTAATTGGGGCCGCGAACAACTCTTCACATGCCATGTCGTCATCTCACCAGCACAGGACACTCTCCTCCCGGGGTACAAGAATGATCACATTACATTTGATCACAGCATATCAGATGAAGCTAGGCGGCAGATAGATAACTTTTTCCAAGAACCAGACCCCAACGACCTGGGTCAAAGCGAGCATTACCTGGTCCACAAATACGGCACATCGCTGGGGCAAGTCTGGGCTACGTTAGCGGCAGTGAAAGCACGGCGATCGGGTGTGGCCGATTTAGATGTTATTAAAGACGCTATACCTACAAATAATGAAGGCACTCCAGAGAGCAAGAGACTGAGGTACAATACGGACTGCAAAGATTTTGTTGATTCAGGTACTCTTCAAATCGGCTCCAGCAGCCCTACCAGCAAGTTGCTTGGAGGGACGCCCGACTCATCTATCGGCTACGTCGACCAAGCACCGACTCGGGATCTTCCACCAGAGGACAATACTGTGAGGCTCATATCATGCGTCATGCGGCACATTCTCTACTACACGCAGCTTCCTGGGTCAACGCCTATAATTGAATTCCGAGATACACGTCAGCGTATGAGTCTGCAAGTTCTAGACTTGGGCGGCGAAGTTACGGCTATAGATGATGGTGGGCTTTGTCTAAAGGTGGAAGAGGAGAACGGCCGATTTACAGTGGCAAGGAATATGGTTGCGCTACTCGAAGCTAAGAGGAATCTCAAGGTGATTGAGGGCAAGCCGGTGATTTCGGACGAGTGCTTGTCGCAGATGACATGTGAAGCTATCTTGGCAAGAGCAGTTGATCCACTGGATGAGTTCCAGGACGGAAGGTGTGTACATTTATCCTTCGTCAATCTAGCGACTGACTAAGTAGTGTGACCATCATAAACGCTACACGGAACTATGTGTGTTTTCTTCAGTTCGATATGGAGGCTGGCTATATAGAGGARTTGAAACTCRGGGTTATACCGTCGCAGTCACTCAGGATTACGGCCACAAAGTGGTTCGACCTCAGTACTAGAACGGGTAGGGAGTGCATTTTGAAGAATGTTTGTGGGTTGATGGCGTTAGTGAAAGTGCCATTCGATTGGGAAAGTGACAGTTTGGCGGAGTAATTTAGGCGTCTACTCATAACGGACATGTGGTCTCGTACAATTTACGATAGTCAGTGCTAGGGTGTGCATGTCAATTCAAAGATTTGATAGCCTCGTGTTTTCGTAAACAATGTGTCTGTTCCAAGATTCGCTGGGCTTTATGAATGAGATGATCGATGATTACAGGGTAAGTAGAACACTATCACGGAGAGCAGAGTCTGTCCTATTGTGTGGATGAGAATCTTGAGCCATTAGATTACCTGGTGAATATGGGCGATCAGAAAATCGGTAATCTGATTGATACCCGCAAACTGTAGCGTTTTTTAACGTGAGATTTAACTGGCATTGACCAACATCCACAGATGGAGGCTGACAAACTAATGGCAAATTTCAGCATGACTCTTGGAACCTTAACTCAATGCTTCGAAAAAGTTTGCACTACCGTTCCAACTCACAGTCCATCAACTATTCAATACTACTTACCCTCCAATATCATTTACTAATACCATTTCGACCACGACACCTTTACTTGCATGATGTCTGGTAAACGGAAGGAATTCTCAGTTGTGAAGATCCCGATGAAACCACTACCCACTAGCGGCTCTCCACTCTACTGAAAAATAAAAACAATAGTTAACTTTAATAGATGAAGAGATAAATCAAAATAGCTACCTATAGCTATATCAATGGGGTAACTCAATTATAATACTATATTAATCCTCCGATAACCTTGCTATAGCTATCATTAACTACTATTGTAATATCCTCCAATTTTGCAGAAGAAAAATCCTCATCTTTCCTCTCTGCCCAGCTTGAGAGAATACAGGACTCATCAAGCTCTAGGCTCCTCCGGACAACCTCAACCAGCCAGCGCCAGGCTGTCAGGTCCCCATCAAGCTGGATAGACTCTAAAACCACTGTCCGGAGCGTTCTGTGATGACACAGCAGTAAGATTGTGATACCTTCCTTGGTGGTATCGATCAAGCGAAGGTAGACTAACCATTGCTTGCTGGGGACTTGAGCGATGGAGGATATGTATAGCTAAGGAGGGAGGTTTTAAGTAGCAGGTGAATTGATGCAGCTTTCTGGGGAAGTTTTTGAGAGCCCCACTGCTAGATTATGTATTACGATCCCAGCGCCAGACATCATGTGTATCCCACTTCTTCAACCAACCAACTTTTGACTCGCTCCATACCTTGTGACCCCTACCAGATTCACTCATAGATCCATATTCCTCAGGGGGTAAATGGCTGGGGTACATGTCGTACGTGTGTTGACGCGTTCAGGTCATTTGAATAGCTTAAGTCGAGATCAACTAATGAAAAAAAGCAAGGTCAACCAATAGAATAGCGAGTTCACCACTTTGGCTTGTACTTTGCCTAAGTACCGTTATTGAGAGCCCTCTGTTGGATGATAGTGGAATGCGGGGTTAATAGGGATTATTAGTCAATGATAATGCAAAATAAGGCGGAAGACTTTCACTGCATTTTTAACTACACGCGAAGGGATCAGAAGAATCATCGTTGATTGGGAGAAAATTCGTGGTGGAGACAGCCCGTTATGACGGACCCAATAGGGGCCGAGAGTGGAGCAGGATGACGCCCCTTTTCGGCGCCAAAGAGACAGAGACCGAGTCGAATGGTGAGGCCCACGAGCAAGATCCGAGACACCGCGCGACGATTGGAAGACACTGCGAAAGAAACGAGAGAAACTACCCGGCAAACGACATGAAATGCGCCGGCCGAATAACAGATCGAACGACCTACCGAAACCCGAAAGAGTAGCGCCAGCGCCAGTGGAAGTAGTGATGGAAGGGCAGTAGTAAGCGATAGTGTAGTAATGTACGGCACTGTCGGTCATATATCATAGTGGAGACATGTCAGCACACCATCCGTTACAGGCTTAAGGAAAACTGGGATTGAAGTGGGGTAGGGCAACGGTAATGCCAAATGATGGGAGCTGCTTATTGGCCCGGTTTATCTCCCCGTCGAATTACCCTTGTTCTGCATCGAAGCGAGGTGCGGACTGAGCCAGTCAGATCGATCATCCAACTGGAAGTGTCAGTCTTGGTTGTTGGTCAATATCCTTGCAACACATCAGTTGAGACGAGAGAGAACAATGTAGTCGTTCGAAAGTTTGATGGGCAAAAATCTCGCTGCGGTATCAAGATCTAGTTGCCTCAATATTTTCTTTGTGACGCATTACTCAAAGACAAGAGAGCCTAATCGACAAAATGGCAGCAAACAACGATGGACCTATCGTGGCACCCGACGAAGATGTTAGATCCCTTATTTTGTTCAGGTTCCTCGACTGACATCTGATATCAGGTCCAGGACGACCGCGACTCATCAATGGGAGATGTAAGCTCTGTCTCTGGCTGTTATGTAGCGGGGAGAGATTCAGCTAACAAATAGAGGCAGGATGCGACATCATCGGCAGCAAGCTTGAGCAGCTCAATCCTCGACTTTCGTCACGAAAACGGGAGAACATATCATGCATACAAGGATGGAATTCAGTTACCGTCAACGACTCTTTTTTCGTAGCTCGGAGTCCAATTCTAACCTTATCTACACAAAGAATATCATCTTCCCAACGATGAGCGTGAAAATGACAGACTAGGTATAGTCCTGGTTGCGGTATGGTGGCAACGTTTATACTAAAGAAGTCTAGACTCGCAGCATAATTTATTCCTCCTCACTTTTGATAACAAACTTGGTCTTTCACCTCCAAACCTTCCTGATTCTAAGGTCAAGCGCGTCTTGGACTTGGGAACTGGAACGGGAATATGGGCAATAGAATTTGGTGTCGACCATCCCGAAGCCGAGGTAGGATCAGCTAGCCAATGAACAAAAACTCGAAGCGAGGATTAGAAGCTGATACTTTTAGGTTATCGGCGTAGATCTATCTCCTATCCAGTCCAGTCTGTCAGCTTTGAATAAATACCGTCTCGTTATAGATGCTAATGATTAGCTAGCGTTCCCCCCAATGTTCGGTTCCATATTGATGACATTCACGAGCAATGGGAGTTCTCTGAGCCCTTCGACTATATACATAGCAGGATGATGAACTTCAGTATCCCCAATTGGCCAGAGTACTTGAACAAGATCTACAAGTAAGTTTGACCAGTACCTCAGTATTCCCATAGTCTAACAACCTCAGAAACCTCGCTCCTGGGGGCTATGTCGAGATCCAAGAGATCGACGTGATGATGAAGTCTGATGATGTTACGCTTGGCAACGGCAATAATCATGAAGCCACTGGGTCTCTTCCGATCGCTTCTCCACCAGCTCTTGCTCCAGGTCCCTGAGACCCTGACAGACCTTATGAACATATTCCAACAACGGTGCAAAATGGCTGGCAAGCCGGGTGAAAAGTGGCAATGGCATCCGCGCGAGCTGCCACGACTCTTCGAATCATCGCTCTCCAAAGTCTTGCGGACTCGTCCAGTTTGGTTATTTGTTGACGCGTTAGACGAATGTGGCCAAAGGAATGCAGTTAAGCTGGTCCGTGACTTCAAGTCTCTGCTACAGGGACTAGCCTCTACTGATTCACAGTTTCACATCTGCTTCACTTGCCGCCACTACCCGATTCTAGGCCAAACTTGTCAGTTCGAAATATGCCTGGAGGAGGAGAACAGACAGGATATTTCGACCTACGTGCGAGCGCAGCTTTCTCTATCCCGTGAGCTAACAGCATCTACAATCCCGGATTTAATTACAAAACATGCCCAGGGTGTTTTCATATGGGCATATCTCGTGGTAGATCGAATCCTGGGCCTTAATAATGAAGGAGAAGGATTAAAAAGGATTGAAAAGGAGATCTATTCCATCCCTCCGGAGCTAGATGACCTCTACAACGAACTCATCCGAAATATGGATGAGAGACCAGCTTCTCTCAAACTGATTCAGTGGATCTGCTTTTCTGTGCGACCCTTGTCACTAGACGAATTGCGGTGGGCCATGATAATCGATGCCGATTGCCCTAGCAAGTCATTACAGGAATGCAAGAACATGGAAGATCATATATCAGACAGTGACAGAATGAACAGGCGAGTTCAAACGCTCAGCTGTGGCCTCGTCGAGGTGACATCAGATGCGAAAGTTGTACAGTTCATCCACCAGTCCGTCAAGGATTTTTTCACAGAGAAGGGCCTGTCGGCTATGAGTGAGACCACCAACCGCAGTATTATAGTTGGAACTGCACACCATCGGCTTTCTAGGACCTGTATACGCTACCTGGCGATGGAGGAAGTCGTTCGTTCGGTAGGTCAAAAGTCTGATCACTTGAAATCTGAGTTTCCTTTCCTGCATTACGCCACGACCTCGTGGGTGGCGCACATAAAGCAAAGCGATGCCAGAAGTGTCCCTCAAGAGGATCTTTTGCAATATTTTACAGGGCCATCAAACACTCTTATGGAACGATGGGTGTGTATCTATGGATTATTGAAAAGATATTTTGATGACTGTCTGCCAGAAGGGACCAGTCTAGTGCACGTCATGTCGAGGTATGGAGTGGTAGGAGCGTTAGGGGCCATTTTGGGAAGGGCAGACCAAGTTGGTATTGATATCGATGGCGAGGATTCGGATGGTCGGACGCCGCTATGGTGGGCAGCTGAGAGAGGGCACGAGGCCGTCGTGCAGCTGCTTCTTGAATGGAGCGCCTATACTGAGGCGGCGGACAAGGACGGCCGGACGCCGCTGCTATGCGCCGTCGTGCAAGGACATGAGACCGTCGTACGGCTGCTCCTTGACCAGGGCGCTAATACTAATGCAGTAGATAAGGACGGCCGGACGCCGCTATGGTGGGCCTCCTTGGAAGGGCATGAGGCTATTGTGCGGCTGCTCCTTGACTGGGGCGCAGACACTGAGGCGGCAGATAAAGATGGCCAGACGCCGCTACGATTAGCTGCCGACAGGGGACATGAGGCTACTGTGCAGCTGCTCCTTGATCAGGGCGCTGATACTGATGCGGCGGGCAAGAACGGTCAGACGCCGCTATGGTTGGCCGCTTTGAAAGGACATAAGGATATTGTGCGGTTGCTTATTGAACGGAACGCCTCTGTTGAGGCGGCGGATAGGTGGTGGGGCCGGACGCCGCTGCTATGCGCCGTCGCGCAAGGACATGAGGCCGTCGTGCGGCTGCTCCTTGACCAGGGCGCCTATACTGAGGTGGCAGATAAGGGCGGCCGAACACCGCTATGGTGGGCAGTTGAGAGAGGGTACGAGGTCGTCGTGCGGCTGCTCCTCGATCGGGGCACCCATACTGAAGTGGCGGATAAGTGGGAGCGGCGGACGCCGTTGTGGAGGACCGCTGAGAATGGGGATGATGCTATTATGCGGCTGCTACTTGATCGGGGTGCTGATACTGAGTCGGCGGACAAGGACGGCCGGACACCGCTGTTGATGGCCGCTGCGTGGGGACACGAGGCTACGGTGCAGCTGCTCCTTGACTGGGGCGCTGATACCGATGCAGCAGATAAGGACGGCCGAACGCCACTATGGTGGGCCACCTTGAAAGGGCATAAGACCATCGTGCGGCTGCTCATCGACTGGGATGCCTCTGTTACGGCAGTGGATAAGAACGGCCGAACGCCACTATCAACAGCCGCTTTAAAAGGGCACAAGGACATTGTACAGCTGCTCCTTAACCGGAGCGCCTCTAGGGAAGCGGCGGATAAAGATGGCCGGACGCCGCTACGGTTGGCCGCCGAAAGAGGGCACGAGGCCGTCGTGCGGCTGCTCCTAGAACGGGGCACCTGTACTGAGGCCTAGGGCCCTCGTGCGTGTCTCCATCACCCGCAGCTCCGGATACTCCGCATCTTTCCGCCGTCCTTCATTGGAGTAACCGTCACTCAAAGTTCTGAGAACGAAACTCCCAAAATTTCTTGCCTCTATATTGCTTGCTAAAATTTCGTCAACGTCTGGAAAGTGTTCCTCCAACCTTCGACGGAATTCAACCCGATCTGGTTCCAGTTCGAGACGCTTCTATGCGGCCACTAAGACCACTAAGTACCACCAGTGCCATTGCTGCTCTTGCCTCTGACCTAAACTGTATATGTGCCCGCTTCGCTTTGCCCGCCACCGAACCAGGTTATGCATCGTGACACAAGCCCCGTCACTGGACACGCGCTGGAGCAGATTATGGCGAGCCAGCACATCGCGGCTCGTCTGGTAATAAAAGTCGCTCCATTTGCCTTCTTCTGCCATGAAGACTTGCCGAATCTCAGCAGGTATCTCGTTGGTGAGGTTCCTGTTGATACTTGCGATGCCGAGGGCGGCGAGGCGAAATATCTCATCTTGAATGATGGCTCCCCTAAATTGCGCAAGAGACGTCAAGAGTAGATCAGGCTGCTGTCCGTTCTCTTCCGTGATCTCTTGAATAGTAGCATCCCATACTGTCCAAGCCGTCTTCTCGGTTGGTAGTAGTCCCTTTAAATCATTCATTCGAAGTAATTCATCGCGACGCATATCGTAGTCTGTCAGATACCGGTTCAAGGCCTGCTCCGGATCTGGGCTATTTCCAATGTACGCCCCAGCCAGATCAATGGCAAGAGACAGATAATCGAGTTTCATCGCCACTTCGCCGCATTCTCTCAGAACCTTTTCGGAAGGCGCGTTTCCGTCGTGCAAGACATGTCGAAGAATGAGCTCTTGTGATTCTTGTGGCGACATATTACCAACTTGAATCTGTGGGCAGTCTCGCGAAACCAACGTTCTGCTTCGCTCATCCCGGCTGGTCACGATAATGGTACCCCGTTCTCCTTTGGGCATTGACTTCTTGACTCCCCATGACAAGTCATCGGCGTTGTCGACTGCGACTAGCCACTCATCCTCTAACCGGGATCTATTACGATGCCAACGAAGGCCTGCTCGGGTAACCCTGAGTCCCTGTCTACCTAAAGTGCCTGCCGTTTCTAGCATAAACCATTTGTACTGCCCTAATCATCATGCCACTCCACATTAAGTTACACTGTCATAACCCAAGTAACTTGGCTACCTTATTGATTAAGTTGGCCTTCAAATTTCCTTTCATCAACAGAACGGTACAATTGATTACCGTCTTAAACTCTGATAAGAAGTTTCTTTTCAACTTTTCTTTTGCCATATTTATTCTTTCAATAATAAATAGTAATACGCCTCTGCTTGGATTAAACTCTGTCATTTTTTATTTTATTCCTCACAATGTTTGCCCGACAAAACCATGGTAGCCCTCGATTTGATGAATTTTTAAGATTCGTCGCTTTTGTCCTTTCCCCACACCCTCATGGCCATTAACCCTGCTGACTGCCTACACTCTCTGATCTTTCTATCATTTTCTTTCTTACCAATCGTTCTCTGTACCTCAGCCGCTCTTGTTTAGACAGGATCTGCAAAAGCTCCAATCTTTCATATTCTTGTACTTTCTGCTACTGATCGCGTAAATTGCGTGCCCGCGCCGCGCGGTCAGTTGTGGGCTAACGTTAAAAAGACACTGACTCCAAACTTCAATTCATATTTATACATACGTGTACGTCATGCATTAGGGTGATGCAGGAAAAAAAGTAGTTGATTTGGTGCTAAGGAGTCGACATGACTTATCGATAAGCAATTTATCGGAATATCGGAGGCCGGCGCTAATACTTAGCCCCTTCAAGGGGCTCTAGCATGGCCTCAGCGGTTCTTAATCTTCTTCTTCACATCTCCCATTTGAATTTTCCTAATTTTGACACACTACATTCTCTCACTCTTTAAAATAAGAACGGAAACACGACGAAGTGCCATGAATCAAACGATTTCCTTTAGCCATACACCAGGACACGTACCTGTCAGGAAGCGGATACCTTTAGGGGTTGAGGACGAGGCACGGACGTCCAAACAACAGAGAGCCGTCTCGACAAAAAAGAGGATCGCGATATCTTCTCGCAAGACATCAAAGACCAACGAGAACGCTCACAGCACGGGTTTCTCATTAGACAGAGTTCCTGAACAAATCATACAACTTATTGCAGAAAATGTAAGTACTTACCCTAATCGACTCTCCGGTGACGCTTACGATAGCCCAGATTGAGGACAGACGAAGTATGGCTGAAATGGCCTGCACTTCCAAGCGCTACTACTCCCTCTTATCGCCGATCCTGCACAAGCTTATCTTCGTCTCTGCAACCCACTGGTTGCACACTCACATTGTCGTCCGCCGCCTTGTGCTTTATTTGAGCTACGCTCAAATAAAGCAAATTATGAAAGAACCCCCATACATATTTCCGAACAGCCTTGACCTCAAGGCCCTTCCGCCATGTGCCAATAATGTCCGCCAGATGATTGTTGGGTCCATCGATCCAGGTCAGAAAAGGCGAGTCATTATTATGAGGTATTTGGAAGAGGTCATGAAGAACTTGCATAATTTGAAAGTCTTCGAGGGGCATGACTTCACCACATCCATGTCGAGGAGCATCGCGGCGCAGCAAAATCTCAAAGCTTTATACGTATCTTTCAGCAAGATCCTTGGTTTCGAAAACGATGTCTTGATTCCGTTCACTAAAATCCGTAATCTCCAACATCTTCATGTCACAGGGTCCTACGGATTCAACGGCGAAAAAGTCCTCTCCAAAATGCTTCTCAACTCTTTAACAACCCTTGAGAGTCTAGAAATCACAGCCAAGTGGTACTGGTCTGGATTCATGGATAACTGGGAAGAAGATATTAAAGCCCTCAACCCCAAGACCTGGGAACAGATACCCCATTTCACTTCTCTAAAATCATTGTCTTTGTCACTCATAACTTTTAACAGGGAACTTAGACAAAATCTTGTTCGAGCCGTTGACTTTTTGAAGCTCGAAGAGTTGCAAGTTAACCATTTCGGAGATAAATACAGGGATGTTACCAAGGAGCACCTGGATGGACCCCTCAAGTTCTTTCAATCTCTCGAGCATCTATTCAAGAAGACCGAAAAGGGAAATATCCATTTACGACATCTTTCACTACAGATAAGTGGATTCTATCGCGAACAGAGGAAGGTGATAGAAGAGGGCCTACAGGGTATATACAGGTTCATCTCTTCGTTTGATACATTGATCCACTTGGAAATTCACGACTACAACACGTATCAGAGCGTTGAGGAGTTGAATCCTGGACTATTATCGCCGCTGCGGCTGTCTATCTTGAAGCACAGAGATTTAGAAACACTCCGTTTCCACTACAAAGACGTCCTCAGCGGTCACGAAGTTCCTTGTTTCACAGCTGCTTCAGTCAAGATACTTGTCGATAATCTACCTAAGCTACGTGTCTTAGAATTTGCACCCTCAGGGGACAACAAGGTGAGTGGAGACTCTTCCCTTCTTGCCATTGACATACTGAAACGCCACAGGATGAAATGCTTCAAGCTCTCTCGAGGGCAAAGAACTTGGCTACTCTCATCTTCAATGACGAACAAACTCTATATCCTAGATCAGACTTCCCCGAGGACTACCATGCTATGGTTGTAAAGAGTGTCATCGAAGGATTTATGGAGCATGCTTCTTGTTGGGAATTTATCTGGGAGAAGCATTATAAGCTGAGCGAATTCCGAATAGGTTCAGATGCATATGCCATCGCGTCAAATTTGAAGCGCAGGAAAGGCTACTTTAAGATTGGCCCTATGAAGGTTGCGAAAGGAGATCGCGAAGTGAAGTTCCAGGATCTTCGTAGAGGCGAACAGCCCTTGCGGGACCGTTCTTATTATGTTCCCGAGGAGGAATGGATGAACAAAGTGACGAACCCAGGCCGGCGAGCACAATTTTGTTAATGGTGCCAGCGTTGTAAGATAGTTAGGATATCTTTCAGACTTGATAAAAGGGGGCGACCCTTCGAATAATGCATTTTGAGACAAGATACTTTTGCAGATATCCTTGGCATGTTACTCAAGCATTATTATCAGAAACGCACTGTGTTTCCTGTTTTTGATCAATCATCGTCCAGGATCTTCAATTCATGTTTCTGCTCTGGCATTCTAGCCAGTAGCAGGGCCCGTTACGGGGTTTACGCGTTCGCAGAGGGAACAAATGTGCAGTCCAGTAAAAGATGGGTGTAAGCTTTCCTTAATTGTGCAAGCCCTGGATCGTCTTTTCGACTGACGTAAAGAAGAAGATAGCGAAAAGGCCAGCCAATCTTCTTCTGAATCAAAAGGACGACGTCGTTGCAGCTATTGATTGGGAGTTCACATATGTCGCAGACATGCAATTCACCCTTGATCCACATTGGTGGCTCCTTCTAGAGGTACTTGAGATGTGGTCTTCTGAAACTGACGACTGGGCCGATACTTACTATATCCGACTTCAAACTTGGCTACTGGGGATGGAAGAGGTTGAAGGCACGGCGGCTAGCTCTATGCCCTTTAAACCATCCACTTATATACATGAGAGCTGGGTAAGTAGGCGATTCTGGCTCGACTATGCCTCAAGAAAGAGTTGGGCCTTTTATTCAATCTTTTGGAAGTATTTGGGCGAGAGGTTCTTTGGGCCCCGAGACACATGTCCCACAGGATAAGCTATAGACAGCAAGGATCGATCTTCTAGAGAATGGAGGAATAGAAACTATAGATCCATTGGTGCAAAGAAAGATGAATGAGATAAAGGAGCGGGTCCTAGTAGACTGGGATCCAATCGAGGCAAAGAAACTTAACGACGTCCTAGGGGACAATAGCAGTTTTGAAAATAAGTAGAAAAGATTCTCGCTAACCTTATATAGCGGTATGAAGGGCAGAAACTACTATATACAAAAACCTCACATAGCACCTACTCTTCTGTTCGTAATTGCCGCCTACCCTTAGTTGTTTCTCACGTGTTTCTTTATCTCCCGCCTGGTCCTATATGACCGTAGTACGGTGAAATACGATTTCTCTCTTCGGTCGACAGTCTGCGGGCGCATCGCTCACATGTGCATACCCGTAAACGCATACTTCAGCCGTTTCTTTTTTCAAATCGTCTATTCTCATTGGTGTAATTTCTACTCGAGGTTTCCTCATCGATCATTGCGCCTATCATTGCGCCACCAAGGCGTAGACGAAGGGGAGATAGAAGATGCTATAAGGTGCCCTTATGTTTCTCAATCGCTTCGAACACCTCACCAACACCTCGCCAACACCTGAATTTGCTTGCTAGACACATTGTCCTCTTTCCATGGCATTCCTTTGTCTTCTCTAGCCGCGATGCCCCTATCGGATCATCCTTTCCCAGCCAGTTGCCCTCGCTATGCGTCGTAAACGATCCCGCCGTTCAGTGGCATTGGGTTTGAGGAACCTATTACTTTGACGCGGGAAACGATTGATACTATCCCTCTTGATCACCAGGACCGGACTAAATGGATGGATAACCTTGAGGGTTTCCTATTCAACAGATTCTCTGAGACGATGGCGGATCTTGACGAAGCCAAGGATTGCTTTTTCACTGCCTTCTATCGCCACGTCTCAGTTGTGAGCGTCCATACTGCTGCTGGCCGTTATCTTATATGTATCCAAGACATTTTTCAAGGTCAACAAGCATTTGCCTTTGCCAAAACAATAGCCGAATGAAATGCTTATGAACCACCCATTCTCTGCAGAACGTAGGTAGGACGTATCTCTCCTCTGCTATTGTCGGATTGTCGTCCAGTGCAGCAGCCATCGCTTCTCATTACAACAGAGGCCGTGTTGCTGCTATTGAACTCCTTGAGACTGGTCGTAGTGTTATCGCAGGGGCTTTCTTAGAGCAGTGTAGTTTTGCCGCTCTTGGACGCGCGCATACCGCCCTCGCCCGTTCATTCATCGACCTACGAGATGAACTACACGCGCCGTCCCCAGCAAGCTACTTCCGTATAGCCGAGCGCCCCAGAGCCGCTTTAGAGGCAGAAAGAAACTGGCGCCGCGATGCTGGGCCTCATCTTGCCTCTCTCCTGAAGACAGTCCGGTCTAAGGCCGGTTTCGGGCGATTTCTGCTCTCCGCATTGGAAGTTGATATGTTGGAGGCCGCATGACTCGGTCCAATCGTTGTCCTGAGCATAAGTTCGTGCTGTTGTGATGCCTGGCGGAATTGGTACGACTCTCTCGGAGCGCAATTAAGAATCATGTCGGAGAACTCAAGGACCTAAAAAATCTTCAGTGGTACGGGATACTATAGTCTTTCCCGTTCTGAATGTGCTAGAATTTCCCTGGCCGCCGCAGTGCCTAGTGGGTCCCTACTGGCATACTGACCCAGTTTCCTATCCACGCTTGGGTTCTTCACAATCGCCTCAGTGCTTCTAAATTCAAATAACCCGTGGTAAGAGCTTTAAGTGCTGGCAAAATTTCCTCACAACGGTGCAATACTCTACTAAATGTTGACAGCAACGATCTATTTCCCAGTCCAGGAGATACTTCGAAGGTCCAGGGCAGTGGTGTTGAGTTCAATATGCCCCAAGCTGTGTGGTTTGACAAGCCAGCAATAGCTCAACTCTTCACTTCCAAATCATCGCCTTAGGGCCTTTCAAGGATGCGTCTAGGCAAGTACCATCTACTGCAAGCTCCACGGCTGAAGTAAAATGGAGTCGGCAAAAGGTGCTAGAGGCTGCAAAGAACGTGCAGGCAGCCTCTTTTGCAACGCCCGGTTCTGCATAGCATTTATTAGCATCAGCGCTCTTGTCAACAAATAGCTTGATAACCCTTCCAGTTCTGTCTTGCGAATCCACAGCGAGGGTCTTCAAAAAGTCCCTAGCTAGCCTAATAGCGCTGTTACACAAGTCAAGCACCAGCTCCACCAACTCTATTGTCTCTTCGCTTTCCTCTGCTATACCCAGAAGCGAAGCAAGTATAACAGCCAAGCCATCGCCTTGTAAATCAAAATTAGCACCGTAATTTACTAGTAGCTTCACAACTTGTATATGGTGTCTGGACACAGCAGCCAGCAGAGCATAGTTAATGCTGGTCCTTTGCGTATTATTTCCAGCGCCATTGCCAAGCTGTAGCTGCACCATCTGTATGTGTCCTACACATGAAGCAGCCTGAAGAAGAGGGCCATGGCGTTCAGCCTCTCCATTGGCATTCGTCCCTCACTCACGCACTCGTCTCTGATGCCCTCTCCCACTAGATACTCATATGCATCCTCGCCAAGTCCACGCATAAACCTGTCATCGACGCTTCAGAGTGTGCCCACCACATGGTAGAACTCAGCCAGTTGAAATGCGCGTGGGTGAATTCGGAAAAGACTTAAACCCTCTACGTCGTACGATAATTGGGATGTTAATCAGCTACCTGCACTTTGGCCGACCTCACCATGTACTATCCAGGTCCAACACTATGATCAACCAATCAGAAGCTTTTTCCACCATTACTCGGCAGGGTCAACCACAATATTACAACCCGCGAATCTCTTTTGCTCCATATGCGACGTGAAACAGCCGCTCAAAATGTAGGGAAAAGCCAAAACAGTACTTCAGTGCAAGGACAGGGAGCAGTGATAATGAAAGGCTTAAAGCGGGAGAGATCGTCGCGGTGCTCCAATCCTTGCTAAATCGACCTGGAAATATCTTGGCTCCAGTGGCTTCAGGCTGGTCGCTTTCGAGAAATAGCCTTGGTGAGCCAATTAGGAGGAGAACGTTGACCATTACCCCTGTAGCCTATTGTTAACCTTATCTTGGTCTACTGCTTTCCCTCATGCTGTCCTCGCTTCAAATGCGATCGCCCCCTGCATGTCGTTCAGTGTGGCTTCCGCAGCCGCAATATAGGCTAGCTTTCTCTCCAGTCACCCTTGCCGCTGAGACTCCTCTCGAAACAGTTTGTCACTATCTAGCTGTATTAATTCCACAATTCTTAATTGGAAGAAAAAGTAGTCCTGCGAACGACAAACCCTATGTACATTGGTTGGGTAGACTGCAACGAAAATACAGGGATAGTATACGATGAGGCTTTTCAGAGAAAACCTGCACATATATTGGCGATGCGGAGACCATATCATGGAGGTCAAGGTGAGTCGGTATTTTGTACAACAATAGACACAATTTCTAGACTCGTGCGCTCTAAACCCATCCTATTGGGAGGAAGGCGGGTGGCCGACCGAAAGGTAGCTGCCATTGTTTACTTTACTGCCTCTTCCGTTGAGATATAAAGATTGAGAAGATCCCATGAGAATGAAGGAATCGAAATGATTTTAGCTGATGTTTTACTAAGGAGTAGATTTTCCATAGATACTCCATAGCATTTCCCCATGAAGCCTCCGTGCTACCTGTCTACACCGAGATCCTCATCAAGTCCAAATTCCTGAAAGATTGTGCGCAAGGTAACCAGGGGTTGAAAATTACCATTCGCTACCAACACATACCACCAATGTTGAAATTCCAAGAAACAACAATATCCCGGACAGAGTTTCATGAGGCTCGTCGCTTTGCTGACTAGTATCACCAGCAAAGCGAGCCCATGGTCGACTTTTGCTGCGTTATTGATATGCTTCCAAGCATAACCCTTGGCATGGTAATTTGGGCCTTCTAGTGACCGATATTTCCGCAGCCACTCTTTCCAATACCGGACATTTTTCTCCTCGAGTTCTGACAGCCCGCGAGGCCCACTTGCGAACTCGAGTAGCTTTTCGACTACCAAGTGCCATAGATGATTGATAGCCCATCTATCAGCAACATCGAGGCTTGAGCGCATCCCGGACTGCGTTTCTTCCTAGTAACATAATGTTAGAACAGTCGCGTAATGATTTAGGAAGGCACATTATGTAACTTGAGGTTCGAGGCTTACTTACGAACGCCAGCAACAGGGCCAATTCAGTGATCAGAGTAGAGTAATCAATATTGAGTAGTGGGATTATTTTTCTTGTATCTCCGTCATCTTTTGACCTGTCTCAAGCCCGGTAGTTGTAGTTTTGCTGTTCCGCCGTAGAATCCATGAGAATTTGTGTAAGAAAATGAAAAGACGGTGGTGGGAGTACGGCCTATCTGTTGTGGAACCATCTATTCCCTTGAAAAACATTATCGGAAGCTTGACGAAAATGAAAATGCGGTGATGGTAGCACAATATGAGGTGGTGAAACCTTGTTCTTTTCGCCTCGAGATATGCACCGCAGTTAGCAGGCGAGAGCGAAATTTTATGACGCCTTAGTCAATGAAACATCTGGCTTTTGTCACACAGATACAGATGCAAGTGGAGTCCCATAAAATAAGTGGTGTGTAGTAACCAACTTGCCACATGGCTTTCATCTGATTCGAATATAATCTTTGTCACTCGCTTCAATTCATTTCCAGTCTATAAGTAGCATAGCTTGGGAAAGTTCATGAGACTACTAGGATCCCAGCACTTACGTCACATGTACCCCACTTCTTCAACCAACCACCTTTTGGCTCGATCCATCCCTTGTGACACTAACCAGGCTCCATATTCCTCAGCAGGTAGCGTGTCGACGCGTTCAGATCGTTCAAATAGCTTCAGTCGAAATTCTTCGGTAAGAAAGCAGACTTGACCAATAAAAATAGCGTGTTCACCTCTTCGGCTTGTACTTTTCTCGAAGCACCGTCATCGAAAGCCCTCTTCTAGGTGAGAGTGGAATACGGGGTTAATATAAGGACTATCAATCAATGATAATGCAAAACGTCCACTTCCAGCGAAAGTACATGATTTCACGGAGATGTAGATGCCACAACAGGAAACTTTTCTAGCGGCCAGTTGGTTTTTACGACAAGGACCTCTTCAGCCTTCTTTATCCTTTCTAAAACTGCAATCCCTGCTTTGGCTTGGCATTCGCCTACGCCCTTCTCCATCTCCGACAACGCCAGTTTCTCCTACACATCGATGACTTCCCATTGACGTTGGACTTGGAGTATATTGATAGTAATTGGGACCTAAAATGATCTCCATCTTTACGCATACCACCGAGCGTTCTCTCAACATCTGCACGAAACTGATCCATAACCATAGAACTGTGCTCCAACAACAAGGATCTGGGTTAGCCAGACTGCATCCTGGGTCCCTGTCTGCAAGATTTGCGAACATGCGTGCATAGCGCATGAAGTGCCTCCTCAGATATCAGAACAAGGAAAACCCAAAAAAAAAAAATCACGCCAATGACAAATCGGGACTGCATTCTTTGTCCGCCGCAGTTTGAAGTCGGCCTTGCAAAAAGTCAAGAAACCATCTTTAAGACAATGCATCAATTAGTACTTGCCAGCAAATAATACCTTTTTACTTTTGGGCCATGGGAACACGGTTAAATAATCCCAAGGCACACTAGCGTCGATGAGGAGTACTTCTACGAAATCAGCAAGAATTAACCACACAACCCATGCCAAGAATCTGCTTCGTTATCACCGAAGTCCAGGTATGGACCAAGGCAGTACGATGGCAATTTGATCCATATCTATACCTACTACAGTGTCACCAGTGTCTTTTCCCCCACCACCGACTTTGTGCGACCATGCTGAGCTATCTCTTTTTCCTCACCTAATGCTGAAACTATCATGTAATAGCCACACAAGAGGCTGCATATATGTTGAAGCACACGATGGATCAGGTAGAACCTCAAGCAGAACACACAGCTCTTACCCCTAAGGAACCTTGTAGAGGGACTTGCTATCCATATTGTATCGCGTCGATAACAGAGTTAGTCGTCCCAGAAAGCTGCATCAAGCCTCCCTCTTCAACTACACGTCTCCCCCGTTATTCAAGTCCGCACCAAGCAATGGCGAGTCTACCTTCTCTTCCCAATGAAGTCTCTTGTTTTATTCTTAACCAAGTCCATCCGCGGGATTGGCTTTCCCTTCGACAAACATGTAAGGAACTAAATAAAAAAACAGCTCACCTCGTGACTGACTTTTTCTTTCGAACGCGTGTAGTCATGATCGAGCGGAGAAGTCTACATTGTCTCGAAAGCATTGCAAGAAGCCAGTCGCTTGGGCAATCTGTTGAGGAGCTTGATATTTGCACCAGCCATCTGCTACCACTTGATGAGGTGGAGGAGATTGAGCCACCATACAGCGAGTATGAAGGCATGATGAAGCACCTAAAGAAGGAGAACAATATGGACGCTATCTTCCACCTTGGCATAGAAGACTATGAAGAATGGGTCAGAAGGTGGCCGATCAATAACGGGGAAGGGGGGTTTGGTGATGAGGATGAACAAAACGACTACAACAGCCAAGATAACCGAGGGATGAGTTCTGCCATCGGCGTCGACGGCCAGGCGGCAAGTAGCCGACTTGAGCAGATTAACACGCAAGAGTACAACAGATATCTACATGATCAAGATGCGATGCGTGCAGGCTACGATGTGAAATGCTTGGCAGGAGCTATGACATCCCTGAAACGTTGCAAAAAGATCAATATTAGTACAAGCATACATGCCTGGGGAATGAGGCGRCTAAGACAGCGGATTGGTATCCTGCCACAGAGGGGGCTTACATTCAAGTCGAGAGCAAGCATCCGACAGGTACATCACATCGTCCAGGTTGTTCTCAAGGCCATGGCAGTCAGCGGAATATCAGTCCAGTGYCTGAATATCAGACCTGGTATGATGCTTGAGAATGCCAATCGGATAAGCCCTTTCATGCTCACGGGCCTGTCATCGTCTTTCATCCTATCGACATCTTTCCCTGCGAGTCTGCGCCAACTCCAGATCTCACTTGATCCRGAGTCTCCTCCAGACGACACGGTTTTGGGCCCAAAATGGGGCCTTGGTCTCCTACAGTTTATACACCTTCTGCTCGAGCTCTCTGATCTCGAGCTTTGCTTTGAGTATAGGGATGAAGCAGGCCGATTCTCCGAGATTGCCAAGGACCTGTACATCCCGAAACTAGAAAGTATGACGCTTGGCTTGATCGATACAACCAAGGAAGATATCGCAATCTTACTGCTGTGTCATCACAGAACGCTCCGGAGGGTTGTTTTGGAGTCGATTCAGCTTGATGGGGGCCTAGAAGCCTGGCGCTGGCTGATTGAGGTTGTCTGGAGGAGCTTAGAGCTTGATGAGTTCTGTATTCTCTCAAGCTGGGCAGAGAGGAAAGGTGAGGATTTTTCTTCTGCAAAATTAGAGGATATTACAATAGTAGATCATGATAGCTATAGTAAGGTTATTGGAGGATTAATATAGTATCATAATTGAGTTACCCCATTGATATAGCTAAAGGTAGCTAGTTTAATTTATCCACTTATCTGCTTACGTTATTGTTTTTATTTTTCACCGGAGATCATGGACTTGTACCTTCCTTGGTAGTGGTTTTATCGTCACCAGCACAACTGTGTATTTCTTCCCCTCTACCAGACAAAGTACAAGCAACGGTGCCGTGACTGACATGGCATTTAGTAAATAATATTAGAGGGCAAGCAATAGTAGGCCATTAATGGACTATGAGTTGACACGGTAGTGCAAACCATTTTGGAGCATAACGGCAAGGTTCCAACTATCATGCTAGAATTTGCTACTAGTCTGCCAATCTCCATCTATGGATGTTGGCCAATGCCAGTTAAATCTGACGTTAAAAAAAGTTCCAGTTTGCGGCTATCAATCAGATTACTGATTTCCTGATCGCCCATATTCACCAGGTAATCTAATGGCTCAAGCTTCTCACACACACACAATAGGACAGACTCTGCTCTCCGCGAAAGTGTTCTACCTACCCTGTAATCATCGATCATCCCCATAAAGCCCAGCGAAACTTGGAGCAGACACATTGTGTACGGAAACACGACGCTATCAAATCTTTGAATTGACATGCACCTAGCACTGGCTATCACAAATTGTACAAGACCACATCTCCGTTATCAATAGACGCCGAAATCATCCCGCTGAATTGTCACTTTCCCAATCGAATGGCACTTTCACTAACGCCATCAACCCACAAACATTCTTCAAAATGCACTCCCTACCCGTTCTAGTACTGAGGTCGAACCACTTTGTGGCCGTAATCCTGAGTGACTGCGACGGTATAACCCCGAGTTTCAACTCCTCTATATAGCCAGCCTCCATATCGAACTGAAGAAAACACACATAGTTCCGTGTAGCGTTTATGATGGTCACACTACTTAGTCAGTCGCTAGATTGACGAAGGAT